CATCTAAGCCTATTGTGACTATAACAAGTGGTATCAGAGCCCCTTGGAGCCGTCTCGACCATGCCTAGACCTGAGGAAGGGGATGGCAGAGGTGCTGGAGGCAGAGAAGACGCCCAAGCACAAGGTCAACACCAAGATCCACCCGTTGCTCCGATGCAACCTAGCCTTGGACCCTCTAGGGATGAGCCTAGAGTGTTTGGCCTTGACAAGTTCAACGGTGACAACTTTGCTGAGTGGTCCTTCAAGATGGAGAACATCTTCGACCACTATGATCTGCTGGAGGTGATGGAAGGAACGGAGAAGCGCCCCGAGAACGACCCGGAGAAGAGCCCGTGGGTGCGGAAGAGCGCACAAGGCTACCTTCTACTTGGGCAAGCGTTGGGGAGCAGCCAAATCCGTCACATCAAGCATTTTCAGCGTGAACCAGCAAAGGGACCAAAGGCATGGGCTGCTCTCAAGGGTGTACACGCTCCTGCAACAGCGGCGGTGGCTGTGGTTTTGGAGCGGCAAATGGCGGCACTTCGAATTGACGAAGGCGAACCGGTGGAGGAAGGAGTGCAGAAATTCTTCGACTTGTTGACACGGCTCGAAGGAGCCGATCTGGACTACAGTGACCTTCAAAAGAAGACCAAGCTGCTGGCCTTACTTCCGGACTCATGGTCCTCGCTCATCATCAACCTTAATCGAGATCTGCCCCGTCTCTCACTCGAAGATGTGAAGCGGGAAATCTTACAAGAAGATTTCCGCCGTCGCGAATTGGCGGGTCCCGATGGTGCCGGAGTTGCAAGCATGGGCCGTGGGCACGGCCGTGGAAGGGGCAGAGGGCGAGGAGGAAGATTTGGTGTAACGTTACTTCGTGTAGTGTTACATTTCACTTGGTGTAGCCCCTTGGAGGGTTGGTTTCGAGACTCTTCATGGTTGGGGACTCTGTGGTGGTGTACCACCAACCTGGACCTCGGCTCTTGGGTATGTAGAGGCTGGGAACTATCTCCCTCTCGAACTCTTCTTGCTAAGTTTGTACTTCCAAGCCTATAGTGGCTGCTATACCTCCTGCCAGTCAAACCGCCATAGCGTCGTCAAATCTTCATGGAATTTCATGATTCAACTTGCTGCTGATAGACGACAGCCACGCGCTCTAGATCCAACTTACAGATCACCGTTTCATTCAGCGACCAGATAGCTATCAATATTTGAAGCCGTCTAACGGAAATCCGACTGTGCTCTCTATCTCTCATTATAGGCACATCTAAGCCTATTGTGATTATAACAGCTAAGGGAAGCGAAGCGAAGCGAAGCTAAGGGAAGCAAAGCGAAGCTAAGCGAAGCTAAGAGAAGTGAATCGAAGCTAAGCGAAGCTAAGCGAAGCTAAGCGAAGCTAAGGGAAGCAAAGCGAAGCTATGCGAAGCTTAAGAGAAGCGAAGCGAAGCTAAGCGAAGCGGAGCGAAGCTAAGGGAAGCAAAGCGATGCTTAGCGAAGCGAAGCAAAGCAAAGGCAAGCTAAGCGAAGCGAATCAAAACTAAGCGAACCTAATCGGAGCGAAGCAAAGCTAAGGGAAGCAAAGCGAAGCTAAGCAAAGCTAAGCGAAGCGAAGGGAAGCTAAGCGAAGCTAAGCAAAGCTAAGCAAAGCTAAGTGAAGTGAAGCGTAGCTAAGCGAAGCCAAGCGAAGCTAGGCGAAGCAAAGAGAAGCTAAGAGAAGTGAAGCGAAGCTAAGGGAAGGGAAGCTAAGCAAAGCGAATCGAAGTTACGCACAGCAAAGAGAAGCGAAGCGAAGTTAAGCGAAGCGAAAAAATAGCTAAGCGAAGCTGAGCGAAGCTAAGCAAAGCAAAGTGAGGCTAAGCGAAGCAAAGCGACGCGAAGGGAAGCTAAGCAAAGCGAAGTGAAGCGAAGAGAAGCAAAGCGAAGCTAAGCGAACCGAAGCGAAGCTAAGCGAAGCTAAGAGAAGCAAAGCGAAGCGAAGCGAAGCGAAGCGAAGTTAAGAGAAGTGAAGAGAAGCGAAGCGAAGCTAAGAGAAGCGATGCGAAGCAAAGCTAATGGAAGCGAAGCAAAGCTAAGCAAAGCTAAGGGAAGCGAAGCGAAGCTAAGCGAAGCTAAGCAAATCTAAGCAAAGCTAAGCGAAGGGAAGCAAAGCTAAGCGAAGGGAAGGTAAGTGAATCGAAGCGAAGCTAAGCGAAACTAAGCGAAGCTAAGCAAAGCGAAGCGAAGCTAAGCGATGCGAAGCCAAGCGAAGCCAAGCAAAGCCAAGCAAAGCCAAGCGAAGCTAAGCGAAGCTAAGCAAAGAGAAGCGAAGCTAAGCGAAGCGAAGTGAACCTAAGCGAAGCGAAGCAAAGAGAAGCGAAGAGTTGCGAAGCGAAGCTAAGCAAAGCGAAGCGAAGCTAAGTGAAGCCAAGCGAAGCTAAGTGAAGCCAAGCGAAGCTAAGCAAAGCCAACTGAAGCTAAGCAAAGAGAAGCGAAGCTAAGCGAAGCGAAGGGAAGCTAAGCGAAGAGAAGCGAAGAGAAGCAAAGCGAAGCTAAGCGAAACTAAGCGAAGCTAAGCAAAGCGTAGCGAAGCTAAACGAAGCGAAGCAAAGTGAAGCTAAGCGAAGCCAAGCGAAGCCAAGTGAAGCTAAGTGAAGCGAAGCGAAGCTAAGTGAAGCTAAGCAAAGAGAAGCGAAGCTAAGGGAAGCGAAGCGAAGCTAAGCGATGGGAATCGAAGCTAAGCGAAGTGAAGCAAAGCCAAGCGAAGCGAAGCGAAGCTAAACGAAGCTAAGCAAAGCGAAGTTAAGAGAAGCGAAGCGAAGCAAAGCGTAGCGAAGCAAAGCTAAGGGAAGCAAAGCGAAGCTAAGCGAAGTGAAGCAAAGCTAAGCGAAGCGAAGCGAAGCTAAGGAAGCGAAGCGAAGCAAAGCAAAGCTAAGCGAAGCGAAGTTAAGAGAAGCAAAGAGAAGCGAAGGGAAGCTAAGAGAAGCAAAGCGAAGCTAAGCGAAGCGAAGCAAAGTGAGGCGAAGAGAAGCAAAGCAAAGCTAATCAAAGCGAAGCGAAGCTAAGCGAAGCTAAGCGAAGCAAAGCGAAGCTAATCAAAGCGAAGCGAAGCTAAGCGAAGCGAAGCGAAGAGAAGCGAAGAGAAGCGAAGCGAAGAGAAGCGATGTGAAGCGAAGCGAAGCTTAGCAAAGCTAAGAGAAGCTAAGCGAAGCTAAGCGAAGCTAAGGGATGCGAAGCGAAGCTAAGCGAAGCGAAGGGAAGCTAAGCGAACCTAAGCGAAGCTATCAAAGCAAAGCGAAGCTAAGCAAAGCCAAGCAAAGCTAAGCGAACGAAGGTAAGCGATGCCAAACGAAGCCAAGCAAAGCTAAGCGAAGCTAAGCGAAGCGAAGCTTAGCGAAGCAAAGCAAAGAGAAGCGAAGAGAAGCGAAGCGAAGCTAAGGGAAGCGCAGCTAATTGAAGCGAAGCAAAGCGAAGCTAAGAGAAGCGAAGCAAAGCGAAGCTAAGAGAAGCGAAGCGAAGCTATGCGAAGCGAAGCGAAGCAGAGCGAAGCAAAGCAAAGCTAGGCAAAGCTAAGCGAAGCTAAGCAAAGCTAGGCAAAGCTAAGCGAAGCGAAGCGAAGCTAAGCGAAGCGAAGCAAAGCTAAGCAAAGCTACGCGAAGCGAAGCCAAGCTATGCTAAGCGAAGCGAAGCTAAGTGAAGCGAAGCAAAGCTTGGTGAAGCGAAGCGAAGATAAGCGAAGCGAAACCAAGCGAAGCTAAGCAAACGAAGCGAAGCTATGCGAAGCGAAGCTAAGCAAAGATAAGCGAAGCCAAGCGAAGCCAAGGGAAGCTAAGGGAAGCGAAGCAAAGCTAAGCGAAGCGAATTTAAGAGAAGCGAAGCTAAGCAAAGCGAAGCTAAGAGAAGCGAAGCGAAGCTAAGCGAAGCGAAGCTAAGCAAAGTTAAGAGAAGCAAAGCGAAGCCAAGCGAAGCGAAGCTAAGCAAAGCGAAGCGAAGATAAGCGAGGCCAAGCGAAGCCAAGCAAAGCTAAGCAAAGCTAGGCAAAGCTAAGCAAAAAGAAGCAAAGCTAAGCGAAGCTAAGGGAAGCAAAGCGAAGCTAGGCGAAGCGAAGGGAAGCTAAGCGAAGCTAAGCGAAGCTAAGCGAAGCTAAGCGAAGCGAAGCGAAGCTAAGCAAAACTAAGCGAAGCTAAGCAAAGCGAAGCGAAGCTAAGCGAAGCCAAGCGAAGCTAAGCAAAGCCAAGCGAATCTGAGCGAAGCAAAGCGAAGCTAAGTGAAGCTAAACGAAGCTAAGCAAAGCTAAGGGAAGCCAAGCGAAGCCAAGCGAAGCCAAGCGAAGCGAAGCTAAGCGAAGCGAAGCTAAGCGAAGCGAAGCGAAGCGAAGCTAAGCGATGCTAAGCAAAGCGAAGCGAAGCGAAGCTTAACAAGGCGAAGCGAAGCTAAGCGAAGCTAATCGATGCGAAGCGAAGCTAAGCGAAGCAAAGCTAAGCGAAGCGACTCGAAGCAAAGCGAAGCGAAGCGAAGAGAAGCGAAGCAAAGAGAAGCGAAGCGAAGCGTAGAGAAGCGAAGAGAAGCGAAGCGAAGTGAAGAGAAGCGAAGAGAAGCGAAGTGAAGCGTAGCGAAGCTTAGCAAAAGCTAAGAGAAGCTAAGCGAAGCTAAGCGAAGCTAAGGGATGCGAAGCAAAGCTAAGCAAAGCTAAGCGAAGCGAAGGGAAGCTAAGCGAAGCTAAGCAAAGCTAAGCAAAGCGAAGCGAAGCTAAGCGACACGAAGCGAAGCTAAGCAAAGCAAAGCGAAGCGAAGAGAAGCAAAGAGAAGCGAAGCGAAGCTAAGCGAACCGAAGCGAAGCTAAGCGAAGCTAAGAGAAGCAAAGCGAAGCGAAGCGAAGTTAAGAGAAGTGAAGAGAAGCGAAGCGAAGGCAAGAGAAGCGAAGCGAAGCTAAGCGAAGCGATGCAAAGCTAAGAGAAGCGAACCTAAGCGAAGCGAAGCGAAGCGTAGCAAAGCTAAGCGAAGCTAAGCGAAGCGAAGCGAAGCAAAGCGAAGCTAAGCGAAGCTAAGCGAAGCGAAGCGAAACTAAGCGAAGCTAAGTGAAGCTAAGAGAAGCGAAGCAAAGCTAAGCGAATCGAAACGAAGCAAAGCAAAGTCAAGGTAAGCGAAGCTAAGAGAAGCGAAGCTAAGAGAAGCGAAGCGAAGCTAAGAGAAGCGAAGCGAAGCTAAGCGAAGCAAAGAAAAGCGAAGCGAACCTAAGCAAAGCGAAGCGAAGCTAAGCAAAGCGAAGCGAAGCTAAGCAAAGCGAAGCGAAGCTAAGCGGAGCAAAGCTAAGCGAAGCAAAGCGAAGCGAAGCTAAGCGAAGCGAAGCTAAGTGAAGCAAAGCTAAGCGAAGCAGAGCAAAGCGAAGGTAAGGGAAGGTAAGCGAAGCTAAGCAAAGCGAAGCTAAGCGAAGCTAAGCGAAGCAAAGAGAAGCAAAGCAAAGCTAAGCGAAGCGAAGCGAAGCACAGCGAAGCAAAGCGAAGCTAAGCAAAGCGAAGCTAAGC